AAACTCCAGGGAACTGTGCAGATACTGTACACAGGTAAGCTGAGGTCAAGGGATCGACCCCTGGGATCTGCATCGGCTACTGCCAAAGGTGAAAACTGTTTCAAACATGAATGCTTATTGACAGTTCTGAAGTTTCCCCTTGTCTTAAAAGAAATAAATTAAGGAGCGAAAAGAAGCAAAACCTTTCGGGTGCCTCCAATTGTCAGAAGAGGGTCATATTGTCTGTCTTTCTTTTTTCTCCTTTGTTTTCCCTAGGCTACCAGGGGTGCTCTGGCAGGCACCTGTGCAGGTTGCCGGGCCATTCGCCTGCCCAGGCTACCCCTGGGCTTGTGGAAGCTTTGGGTTCACCCCACCCCTCCCCCCCACTCCGCCCTGTCAGTAGGGCTTTTCTGCACCCATGGAAAACAGCCCACATCCAAGCTCTTTTTGTTTTCAGTGTTTTCCGTCAACGGGGACCAATGGGGGTAGAATGGGGCTTAAAGGGGTTTAAAGGGGTGTGGCAGTGTGCCTTAGATTGATTTCCCGCTTCCCCCCCCCCCCCCCCACACACACACACACTTTTAATCTTAGATTTAGTAAGGCACCACTCGACAAAAGTTGCTTGCATTGCAATTGTACACAACATAGTTTTTTTAACTTTTTTCGACATTCTTTTTATTTTAAAACTTTTTTGTAAGAATTTTGCGCTTCGGCTGCCCGTAACCTCTCCGGGAGGTCCTGCTTGTCTGGGCGGCCAGGCGTGTGTACGGGCACAAAATTTGTGTGGTTTGCGCATGGACCAACGGCCTAGCTTTTCTTCTGTCAGCTATTGTGAATAAAAGATTGTTCATCACAGATCTTAGAAAGGGAAAAAAAAAGCAGAAATTTGTGCAGTGCGATTCATGAACCGGAGTGTATATGGATTGTATGCGATCACTCCAGTGAGGGCATCACTCTGTTGTGGAGTGTGATGGATGATGCGCTTTGTGATGACCAAATTCCCAGCCCACTGGTCCTGTTTTCATGCTCTGAAAGCATGGACCTGGCATCTATTGCATCCACGTTCATGCCTTCCAAGCATGGACATAACACCTGTGGAGCCCGGATCTTGGTCTCTACCCTCTCTTTGGTTTTCTTCCACTTCCCCTTTCTTCCTAGATGTTGATTACAACTTGTTTTTGTGCTTTTTCAATCGATTGGATGGAAATGAAATTGCAGGATTCAAGCGGGTTGATGAAGCCTTGCTGAAGAAAAGCGCAGCAGGTGAGTGTGAGTGTGAGTGTGAGGTCCAGATAATGCTCAAAAGTTGTTCATGTAAGGGATAGCCCCTGCTGGCGCGATGTTCATGCTTGGGAAATTGCCGGCTGTTGCGACACACAAAACAAACTTTGTCGCCGATTCAATGGAACCAGTTTAGGAGAAGGGCCAATGTGGTGCAACAAGTGAAATGAAGAATTTTCTGCATGCTTGGAGCAGACGCTCTAAGGTTGCTGCAAATTGGGTGCCCTCTGCAATCGAAAATTCTTGCATGCTCATTCATGAAAGAACAGTTGCTCTCCCACCCTCAACACATACGCACTCACCGCTACGCTGCCCGGTCATTGGCCGTTCTGTAATGCCTCTCTGCATGCATTCATAAAGGGCAAACATAAACACGTGGGGTATCAGTAGTCTTGGGGGAGGTGTCATGTCTGAATACATCAGTCAAATGCATCCTAGACTGACTGTTGGGGTTCAACCTCCTGATGAGGCTGACATTGTGACCAAATTGTTTGCGTTAGTTATGCTTTCTTTTTGGAGTTGTGTGCTACTTGATGTGACCTTTTAAAATTTCTTGACTACTCAATGCTACTTCGGGAAATGCACTACTGTGACTTTGCATGTTTTAGTGACTCTGGGAAGTTCTCTCTTGGTCTGCGAACACATCCCATGGGCAATGTACTCTCTGTGTCACGTTGCTGATGGTTCGAAATCCACTGAAACACACATTCTGGCATGATTCTGCCAATATGATGGATGACTACTGGACACGGTTGGGAGAGGAGTCAGGTATGGTTGTGGCAGGTTGCACTGAGTGAGAGGTATTTGTGTTTTGCATATGTCAAGGAACAACAGTCACTTTCTCTCTCTCTCTCTCTCTCTCTCTCTCTCTC